TAGCGGTGTATTTTTGTAACAACGATGATATTGTGAATTAAACGCTGACATTATTCTGCTAATGTCATAATATTTCACCTACTACAGTATTAAATTGGCGTAAAAGAGGCCTATTCCACCTTGATCGTGTCAAATATTTTGGAATTCCTTTACAATTATATATTTTTAAACATTGTTATTAATATACGTTCCCTAACGTAAAATTAAAGTGAAAACCATTTATTTGGCGCGCTTACGATCACGTGACATCTCAGTTTATGACGCATTATGACACACGCATGCGTAGTGCTGTCTCTTATACACATCTTAATGCTAAGCGTGGAAGAGGAGAGCACATGTAAAGTTCGTTTACGTCGGTTCTTTATCTTGGAAAACAAAAGGATCAGTGAGTTCAGTAAGTTTTCATTGTACAAGAACGTATATGGCTATAATATATCCTTTTTTAATTTCCAATTATTACTTATAGGCACTAGTTATCTTCGGTAAAGTTAAAGCGTCCTAGGCCTAGAGACTAGGCCTAATTAGCCTACTGTACTACTCTTACTACTACTAGGGCTAGGGCCTACCTAGGGCCTGGCCGTAGGCAGGCTAGTTGAAGATTGAAAGTAAGTAGGCAAGGCCTAATAGGACTTGCCAGGTTAGGCCCGATAGTGTACCATGTTAGCTTAGCTAGGCTACTGCAATGGAGAGCAGACGTTCAAGACCTGGCCATCAACATTTGGGAGCGATACTTTGATTACCAAAATATAAATTAAACGATTTATCCTCTCAGCATTTTGACACCTTTTCTAAAAGAATCTGTTTTCCGACAAAAAACAAAACACAAAACTTAAGTATATCATTAATCGATTCCTTGTCTTATCCTCAAACCTACAGGGGTATAGACTGACACCAAACTCACCATCATATCATTTATGATTAGGATAAAGAAGTTAATTATTTTGAATTGTTTCACATCTGTTAACTTGTGAATTTCTTTTTCCTGCACTCTCTCAATTTTGTTTATTGGCATGCCCTGTTCCGGTTTTGGACCAATTTTAAAAAATAAAGGTGTCAAATACTGAAGACTATACTTCTTCATTAAGATAATTATGTACATTTGATATAATTCACCCATTTATAGCCCACAAATAATAACTAGAGTTGCAATCCCATAAACCGAATTCGAAAGAAACATTTTCTACATTGTTGCAATGTTAGAGAAGTGAAGTGAAAATACCTAATAAATTGAGCTTTTTCAGGATTTTGATGAAAGAAAAACGTTTGGGAAAACTGGATGAGCTATGTGTGGTCCATGAAGCGGATCTTGCACTAGTTACGGAAGGATGGCATTCTAAAGGCCATAGATGCGCACAAGTGTAGTACACATTTTATAAAAGGTAAGATGTACTGTATGGATAAGGTGTGTTGCCAAACAATAATTATCCTTTTATTCTGATTATGATTGCTTGGAGACTGTATGATCCAAATGAGTTTGGCATTTGACAAATTAACATGCTATTTTTCAACTTGCCAGAATTTAACCCACAACTTTTGATGGTTAAAATATTTATAATCTTCCAACCTTTGGAAGAAAACTATTAAAAAAAATATCAATGCTTTCTTAATGTTTAGACGTAATTACACAACAAAATAAATGGACTTTTATGCAATCAACAAAATAAATGCATTGATTTAGTTACAAGATACATGCTACAATTATGTGCCCAAAATCCAGGATGTATTTTTTTTCTTTGTCTGAAGTTTTAATTGTTTAGTGTTGTGTTACTCAGTCCTGAATTTTTTTTTTCCATCAGCAATTATGTTCTTTTTTCCAGCAACATTTGAACAAAAAACACTCCAGAAACTTTATTCCCATTTCAAGACTAGGAGATTTATCCAGTCCAGAGCGAAACTCAAGTCAAGAAGAGTACCTTGATCTTCTATCACAGAAGACATTTTTTGCCAACACTTCCAGGTACGCAGTACTGTACTGTATATCTAGTCCTAATTAGTAAATGTAAAAGACTACATTCAAATTTAATTTATCATCATCATCTGGTACATTGTTTTGTCTTGGGTAGATATTATGTACGTTAATTATTGCCATGAATTTGTTATAAATTATCAGTTTTGTCTATCAATCTCTTAACATAGTGTCCAAAAATCAAAAGCCACTTTTTGAGCTCAACATGCCAAACCTGACTTTTGTTGCTTGCTAAAATAACATGGCCCTTAATAGGGTATGACTACGATTGTCTTATGTATTTATTGCCTTGGGAAAACATTTGATAATACAGTAAAGTTGATTGTGCATCCAGAGGTGACGGAACTAGGGGATGCTGTGTTATGGAGAGTAATGTGTGACCGGTGGTCTGCATCAGTTGGTTGTTACCATGTGCCTAGTTGCCTTTCAAAAATGTAATATTGAGTGGCCATTATATCTTTGCGTGATCAAAACTATAGGATAAGAGTCCACTAGCATGGTGTTTGGGATGTTATGTGGTGTAGTAGCATTGGGGTTAAAGCAATGCAAATAAGAGACAGGGCCTAGGCCTACCTAGGGCCTTGCCGTAGGCAGGCTAGTTGAAGATTGAAAGTAAGTAGGCAAGGCCTAGGACTTGCCAGGTTAGGCCTGATAGTGTACCAAGTTAGCTTAGCTAGGCTACTGCAATGAAGAGCAGACATTCAAGACCTGGCCATCAACATTTG